ATATATATATCAGGTGAAACCGGAACCTTATGTATGTGCTTTACTTCCTTATGCCTCGAGAAAGTATTATAAAAATTTAGTACTTAAAACTGTAGTTGGTAACTGAATTTAGCAAATAGATTTTATGTAGATGCGACCAAAAGCGTTTTAAAAAGGGTGAGCGGAACTTCCGATTTTTTGCCCTTTTTACACCGTTAGTTATGACTTTTTTGGAGTTTGTGTTTCTCTTTTATTTGCTTTTCTTTCTCTATATTTTATCACCAAACAGTAAGTATGGTAATAAAGTTTAGTTATCCAGATCCAGATCTAAATGAGACTGTTCAGGTACATTTTGCTTAACAGTAGTAATGCAGCAAAACTTCTGTCTCCACTGCAGTAATTTAATTTGAATACATTTCTTTTTGGTATTCATCAAACCAGGACGAGTACTGTGAATTTCTTCATGTAGGTTGACAGAAACTCTATGCTCTTTGAACGACCTTTGCAGAGACCTTGCTTATTTTGAATTCTCCTCAAAGAAATTTATGATTTGAATCTTCTTCTACAAATACAAAGTTGCTGTTCTTAATCATCAAGAAGAACCAAAAGCGCGAAATCTCTCGTACTGACTTTAAGCTTCATGTATTGTTGTACAATAGAATTACTGTTATATCAAGGGAGAAGTTAACTTTACTGAAAAAAGAATGTAAGCGCTAAAACTCAAATCAGCGGCATAGTTTAACTACAAATCTCAAACCAAAACTTCCTTCGTTGACAGGTCAAGATTGAAATAGAGTTACTGTGTGAAGAACATAAAATTCAATTTTCCAAAATTTATGTTAACGAAGTAATCAAAACTGAGCAAAGTCCAGATCTAACAAAGGAGAGAAAGAATTAAAAATCCAAAGTGGAAAACCTGTTGAAGAAATGAGTCAAGCAAAGAACAGGAAGTATTCGGAAAAAATGGAATGAGACTTTGACGACCTAATCTTTTAAGAAATGTATTTATAAGCACGTTAATTCAGGCGCAATGAAAACACGAACTGATAAAATCTAAAAATATTCTGTGTAATTCCAGATTTGTAAACAGTAATTGAATGTTATTGTCCTCACCCTAAGTTCTTCAGTTATATTTCGTCTTGTTATTTTTATACTCTTACGGCTTGATATAAATTTTAAAAAAATTCAACTACTCTTTCAAAAGTCTAAAATTCCGGAGGTTTTGACAAATGATTTTGCCGTAAAGACAGTGATGATGCTTTCCTCTCATTACGAACCACACAGAGAAAGCTTTATCTGCGCCTTCTTCAATGTTTCTACTACCTTAGCCAGAAAAACCTAATTATGAAAATTAAGTTCTTTGACACATACTCATGCATTCTCCGACCATCACAAACGACAAGAAAATATTAACAAATAAAAATTTCAATCTGTTTTTTAAAGTGGTAATACAAGCTGGAAACTGAGGACAAAACTATTTCTGGTTGGTTATCCAGTGAATCAAAACAGAGGCTATATTTAACTGAGCTCATTGCAAGACAGTAAAATACTTCCAAATCAGCTATCTACTACATTATTGCACTATTTTACTTTGTCGCTGCTCACTTTCGCTTATATTTCGCTAAGCAACAAATTAATTTCAAATTCATTGAATACAGGTTTATCATTTTGTTACACTCTTCCTTTATTGTAGTTTTGCTCAGTTCTAGCCAATTAACGGTCGCTGAACGGTGATTCAGACTATGCAAAATGAACGAAGGAATTGTTTAGTTGATTGCCCTACTGAAAAAAATGTTCGGAAATTTGTCAAACAGTTTCAAAAGCTAAAAATCCCTGAGCTTATTCCTGATGAGCCACTTAAAACTGCTGAAAAATTTTTGACCTATTTAGTTGCGTTGAAGCGATATTGACTGCATATTACAAATGCTCTTGATCAACTTATTGCAGCTAATAAATCTTGGCTAAAAAATGTCAGCAATGCTGAGGATGGAAAAACAACTGAAGAGGAGCCACTCTCTACATAGAAATGAGCACTACACAACCATCGCCACTTGCTTATCTGGACGCTGAAAGCGAGGCAATTATTGATATATAGTGAGCAACTGAATGAGCAAAAACTATATTAGCTTTTCTACAACTACCTTCTCAAAGCGCTACCTCTGTACTACTGTTACAGACGTTACTTCTGCCAAATCTTCCGCTTTGCCACCTTTGACATCTGTAGCCATCTTCACCAACTAAGGGTGGCCAAAAAAGCCACTCTGCCAGTCGATACTAAACTACCCATTAATATTTTATCAGGAGCACACTCGCTCCAATTTAAACCACCCAAATTCTGGAAGCCTCTCAAAAATCGGCTTAAACTTTATACACCTTTCAACAAACGATCCATCTGCACAGAAGAGTTCTCCCTGTGCGCAAATTCAATCATTTGATAGCAATTTAAGTCGACGAAGCAAAGGAAAGTGCAACAGGTGCTGTTTCAAAACCAAAAAATCAACCTGTTTTACCCTAGCAACTCAAAGTGATTTATGGTGATGATTGTTGCTTGAAGTCACAATTACACCGTGAGTTACGCTCCTTCTAGCCTGCTTCTCCAGAAACTCAATTCTCTCAGACTTGGCAACAGGCGAAATCTAGAATTTGACAATTAGAAGCACTGAGACAGTCTCTGAGCCATTGGCTTACAGAAGAACCCAGTTGGAGACAAGCTTTCACATTCAATAAGGAAGGAGGTTTACGTGGCGAAATTATTAGACCGTCAGTAGTACGCTATCAAATTAAGGTCAAGTTTGAATAACTTTAATTGAGTTAAACTGCGTGGAATTCTCGCATCACGATACAAATACAATTAAATACAATACAGCTAAACAAGGAAACTAAGAGGTCGCTAGTAACCTGGTCACGAACGCTCTCATCAACAATCGCCGTTTAGTTCTACGAAGACCGGAATGAGGTCAAGTTGTTCAGAAAATGTGTGATTTGCAAGGGGAACCACTACCAAGATCAAAACAGAAGATATAAAACCAAAAAACGCCGAAGCGACAGAGTAACACAGTTGGAACTCTGCTGCAGATCTTACGATCAGACCGTGCTGTGAAATCCCGCGCTCTTCGCCCGGTAAATAAACTCCTACAAGGCCTCGATCAAATGACTAGTCAGAAATAGGTGTCGTCGGTGGCAAGCTTTAATCCCCCAATGAGTCTGCGGCCTTACTAACATGCAGAAGAATGGACATCCATAGTGCTCAATACCTACGATAAAAAGAAGAATATTAACCTTTTTTTGTAGCGAAGACGGTCTCCTAAATCAATCAAGTTTACCTAGACAATTTAGCTTTGCCAAGTCGTAACAAAAGGAGCTGTTTGCTCTCTTCTGGGGCAGAAAACCGAAAAGGATGCTTTAATATAATGAAAAAAAAGCGTTGACACTGAAAAACGGCAAATCCAAGGTTATTTGCTATTGGTCAGTGACACAGAAGTTGCAGACAGAAAAAGTCATCAGCAAAATACAGAAATTTGAGTTTGCTAAACTCGGCTACGACACGGAAAGGAATGAAAATACTGACAGGAACCGATTAACACTTTGACTTCCTGAAGGGTTTGACGAAGCTGAACTGTTGGATATACCTGATCGACACAAAAGTACGTCTCTTAATGGTAGGCTAGATAACGGCAATCGGAAAGAAGAGTTGAAGAATCAACATCAACTGTCTTTAGTAACCAACTTTAAGCTGAATGACAGATAACAAAAACAAAACTGAGAATCAACTGCCGTCAGAGTTTTTTGGCAACACGGTGACCAGGGAAAAAACGTAATCATATTGTTAAGTGGCCATGGCAAACAGTGATTCCCAACCTCTCCGAAAACTTTGGTTGTGCACAGGACGTCTGAAATCGCTAATAAAGCGCATGCGTGACAATCAAGGTCTTTCAGATCGATATGCCAAAATTTCCAAGGATCAGCTGAAACAAGGAGTTATAAACGCCTCTGATAGGAGAGGCGAACAGATAATCTACTACTTGCCTTATTCTGCAGTTATCACGCTAATGAAAAGCATGACAATACTCTGAATCGTGTCTGATGTCACTGTGATGTTGGAAGTAGGAATCAGCCTAAATTCAGCTGTTTACCGGAGCCCGGGAATCTTACTACAACCCCGAAAAGTCTTAGTGACAAAACAAAATTCTGGAACGATCATTATTTTTAGAGTTACAGAGAAAGTTACAGGGAAAAAACTTCTGAATGCTATGCGACTTTTGCGGTTAAAGAACATTGATAAGCTTTCAGAGCTACAAGCAGGCCATTCGTGTCAGGAGCTTTCAGATAAGATAAACTGTATCGATGGATTTGGATCAGAAATCACTTGTGCAACTTCACCTACTTGTCGGCGCGTCTTAGTTCAGTTTCACAGCTACGCGAAGGCAGGAAATAAAAGAGATGTAACTTTTTGGAAAAAGCGCATTATGCTCGTGCAATACACTATATAGATCCGTGTCCGTTACTACGTTTTCTT